AGTCTTATTCCAGTAAAAAGACGACCGTTCTTGAAAAGAGAACATTTTTTGGGTTTATAAATTAACAGTTACTAACAAAAAATAAGTAACTTTAACAGAAAACGTCTGTATTAAAAATCACTTAAAGCTACCTAAGGGGGGGAGCGGGGAGGGCGTGCGCGTGAAAATAGAGACTAATGAAAAATGATAGCAAATGCAAATAATGTACTGGCCCTACAGGAATTTATCGAAAGCATATCTATGCTCGCCAACCAATCTTCTCAATTCTTCGATAGGGATTTGCGGTACCTTGTTGACTGTTGCATTTAGTATAACATAGTCTCTCAGATAAGATAAAGAGGTTGTCGATGCTAGTTTTTTTTCAACGTGAGTAGGTGACACAAAATGAAGTTTTTTTGCATGCAAAGATTTTTTTTGCCTTGTGCCACTTTATTTTTATAATTAAAAAATCGTTTACATTATGATCAAGAACGAAAATAGCTTTGGGACCGCACGCGGCGAAGCCGACTGTTGTCTGAGAAGTTAGATGATAGTTGCAAACTTTATCAGACTCATATCTCTTTTGAGCAGTAAACAGGAGCACTACCATGTACAGTTATGGTATCCATGTGGCGTCTGTAAATACCATTATATCCGAAGAAATCCTTCTTAATATCGATTAATACTGCCCACACTGGTGTTCGTTGTCAACTGCCAGACTGGCCTTTCAAAACTGGATAGCCATTTAACCCATCAACCATCTATAGTTCTTGAAGGTGGCCGTCGATGTAGTATGCTCTCGTGAAAAGTTCTTTTCACAAATGACCATTTGGGGCAACCTCACAGGCCTTAAACGCGAGATGTCATCGCTGAAGTAAATGCTCTTGCAGAATGAGGGCCTTCAGTCAATCTAGATCTTAGTAACTGAAAATAAACGTTTTCTACGTTTGCTACTTTAAAACGGCTTGGTCGCGGCCTTTGGCTGGTGAGCTTCAAAATCTTTCATATTTTTCCCAAAGCGGCAGGTTTTCCCAGTGAATAGTCTCAATGGGCATGTTATGATACTTTTTAGCGTAACACGGTTACATTTTTTGTCCTGCTTGCTCGTCGACCGTTTCGGTCCGCCCTGCTAGTTTCTGGACACGATTATATCTTGAGTAACTAGCCACAAAGTGACCTTACCAATATTAAAAAATTTCACGCGGCAATCCCTCCGCTTCCAATTTCCGTATCCTCTCATAATAGACTACAGGTATAAATTGTCTGAACATCGTTATTTAACGGCGTGATACAGAAAAGTGATAGCGTGTCGCGAGTACTCAATATATGCTTATTTACGCCTTCCAGTGATTAGTGTGGTAAAACAAACTAGTTCATTAAGGCTATTATTGGGTTAGATGAAACAGTATTCAAGCATGTGCAAAACAGAGTTTTTGGAGCTGAATTCATCCATTTTATTTCTCGAAACCAATGTGATTTCTCCTACCTGCCTTTGCTTTTGATTAACTTAAAATCCATATTTCCGTTCCCCAATGCGATTTATTTCAAAATTATTCTGCTTATATGAATGCTCGTATATAGCACAACACGCAAAACAGGTGGTAATCTGTGTATTTTAATAGCGTAGGAAATTACTTGGATATCAAGAAGTATCGGATTCTACCAAAATCTGGCCTGCTTTCCGTCCTTAAAACAGAATTAGAATGAACTGTTCTCTAGCAAACATCTTTCTATGTCCCAACCTAAGTCTACATGCATAAACAACAACAACAACAACAGGACTACTCGCCCAAACATCGATATCATAAATATAATCAACACCACCATCATCATCATCATCCTCACCATCATCATCCTCAGCATCATCATCATCATCATCATCATCATCATCATCATCATCATCATCATCATCGATCATCATCATCATCATCATCATCATCATCATCATCATCATCATCATCATTAACCATCATCATCATCATCATCATCATCATCATCATCATCATCATCATCATTATCGTCATCATCATCATCATCATCATCATCATCATCATCATCATCATCATCATCACCACCACCACCACCACCACCACCATCATCATCATATACTATAATCTGTGTCTACGCATGACGGACCTTTCGACAGTTTTTCACTTTGAAAAAAAAGCTAATGAGAGCAAAAACCTTGCCCCACCGCTCGCTGAGTGAGTAGTCTCTTTCTAATGACAGACGTGGACTGTATTAGGGTACTAA